ATAAAAAAATAATATATATATATATATATATATACGTGCAAATTGTGCGACGTAAAATATATATGTTATATATATATATATATAATAAGCACAAAATAGGACGCATGCGATTTGCAAATCGTAACTCAAGCATCGTCAATAAAAAAATTTACTTCTTCGCGAGACGAAGAATAGTTACTTAAAAATCGGCGAGCATCGACCGTCGCTACACGATGTCTCAGTTAAAAATTAATTACAACACGCGCCGTTCTTCGTAACAGCATTCTTTTCGTAACGATTTTACGCAGAAAATATTTTACGGTGAAAAAAATTTCGATAATCGGTGATGCGCAGTGAACGTGATGTTTTTGAATTCAGAACAATCGTGTCAAATTGTTCCCTTTGGTGATTTTTGTCAACTAGCTTCGATTTGTACAATAAAGTTTTTTTTTCCGCAAAATTCGTACATTTCTACTTTTTTTTTTTTTTTTTTGGTTTCCTCACTTTTTTTTAGTTCAAAAACTTTGGCATGTAGCAAATAAGAGATCATCAATACCGAGCCAAACCTCGTATAGCCTCTTCGTATAATTGCACAGAAATAAAAGACTCGAATTATCGGATTAGATCCGGCCGAGCTATCGGCATTATATTAATTCTTTGGATTAAAATAAAATTGTAACGCGATAAAAAAAAGATAAATTAAAAAACTAACTAAAGAGAAACAAGCAAACAATATTGAATAACAAAATAAACAAAAAGTAGATAACACAAAAATAACATATTAAAGTTTTACATTCCATATCGGAATATATATATATATATATATAGATGATGTAAACGAAAATAAAATTCTATTTACATTCCGTAAATAATAATTGGTTGGTAGTACGTACATATTCGTGAACACGAATTCGGCAAGCTTCCGAGCAAGCTTATAACTAAAATAGTACATATGAGTATATATTCAATATCGTAAAAACGATATATGTATATATTATGGCCAAATTTTAATCCAGGGGTAAACGTACGAACAAATGAGCAACTCGAAAGTCAACACTACTGCCAATGCGGAGAACAGGTTGGCCGCAAAACGCGAACGCGAGAACAGTTTCGCGTATTCTTCGCTTAAAGAAAAGAAAAGAAAAGAAAAGAAAAAAAAAATAGAGCAATGAAAATGGCACGTTTCTTCGATATATATATATATAAGTTCGATCGATGATTGGATACGTTTTACGTATCCGTGGACACATTATTACGAATTGGTCATACCTCGAGGAAGGTTTTTATTACTTCGATCGTATGCGAAAAAGAGAAATATACCGATAGTCGGTACGAAACTTTCGTCGAGGTTAAAGATATTCGCTGAATGTCGTCAGTCGGAAAGATTATTTAACTTAAAAAAAAAAAAAAAAAAAAAAAAAAAACAAAATATCGAAGCCTCGAAAACGATCGTACATATTTTTTTTTTTCTTTTTTGCTCAGTCTCACAATTGATCATCTACCGCTTTCAGGATAGCACGCGAACATTATGTATACTCTTGATCGATCGTACAAAGAAAGATGCACATTCCTCCTTACACGCTATTAAGTACCGAACTCATTTGACTAGATAAAATAATTTGCCTTTTTCTTTCTTTCCTATAGCATGTCTTTGGTTATAAAAAACGTTAATAATATAGGTTTACTCTCCTCCTACGGTAAACGCACGAGAAATCTAGAATCTCCTTTTCTTTTTTTTTTCCTTTCTCTCTTCCTTCTTCCATTCTTCTCTCTTCTTTTCTCTACACACCATCTTCTTCTCCTCTTTCGTATATATGCATATACAGATAAATACACATTAACTCAAACGAATACACACATATATATGTGTGTATAAATGACTAGGGTGAAAAGTGTAAGACGATAGGCGTCTCTTTAACAGGCTTCCCGTCGACGACTAGAGAGATATTTTACGCATCGTGTTTCCGAGAGAAAATTATTACTTGCGAATAGAAAAAAAAAAAAAAAAAAAAAAAAAAGAAAAAAAGAAAAAGAAAAGAAAAGAAAAAAAAATCAGCAAACGTGTCTTCCCTTCTCTCGAACTCGAACTCGAGCTCGATGCTAGATGCCCGTTCGCTTACATTATTTACATCGCATTTCGTTGATCACCACCGTTCCTTATAACCTAATCCTACATATATATATATATATATATACACACATACATATATATATATATATGTAAAAATCTTTCCGATTTTGGATCGAAAACGATACGCGTACGATACGAGGAGAGGAGTGGACGAATGAAGAAGGGGAAAAAAACGCGAGGAAAGAAGAAGGAGGGGGGGGGGAGCAGGAGGAGAAGGAGTAGGAAGAAAGAAGAGAAATGGGGTAGGGATGATTTGTTTGTTTATCCTCTCTTACGTCGACGGGTATACGGGTTGGGCAGGATATGTTCGCACTAAGGAATAGGACTAGACGTGATTCTCTCGACGCTGCTCTCCCTGATGCGTATAGTGGTGTAGGTGGCGTTAGGCTCGAGACCAGCGGTGGGACTTCCGACGTTTTGGTGGGCGATCGCGGTGGAGGAGACGGAAATAGGCTGTGGCAGAGGCGTGGTGACAGAGGCGTCGGGCGGCGTGGAGGCACCGCTGACAGCGGATACAACGGGGACGACACCAGGGACGGCGTTGGTGGATGCGGTTCCTCCTGTCCCGGCTCCATTCCCGGCGGCGGCTGCGGCTGCGGCTGCGGCTGCTGCTGCGGCGTTCGCAACTGCAGTTGCGGCGGCTGCGGCGGTCGTCCCCACGCCTAGCCAACCGTGCCGATTTTTTAAATGTCGCTTCATGTGTGTCGTGCGGCTCAGCACTTTATGGCACACCGGGCACTGAGTCGTCCCTTTGTGCATGTTCATGTGTTTGTACATCGAGTCCCGATTCCAAAACGTTTTACCGCAGAGTTTGCACGAATGCGACGGCTGTTCGATGACCACCGTACGAGAATCTAAATCAGATATAAACGTTCATGGTAGTACATACACGCCCATGTCGTCGTGCCAACACTCACAATATTATTTCTTATTTTTTTTTTTTTTTTCATCTCTTGCGTACCATCTTTGCGAAACGATCTTAGAGATAGAAAAATCATAATACAACGTTATACACAATATATTTGCACCCGATCTCTCTCTCTCTCTCTCTCTCTCTCTCCCTCTCTTTCCCTAATTTTTTTTTTCCTTTCCTCTACTCGTCCCTTCTTTCCATTCTTTCTTCTTCTTGCTTGCTCGCTCGCTTTCCTTCTTCCTTCC